TTGCCACCGATGTCCTCCGACTAACTGAAAATGACTGTTTGTTTTGTTTAATGGATTTGGGATGCTAAAAAATGCTTCAGTTTCAGTGTGCTCACCTTCCAGTTTGCTAACTCTTTTAAAGAAATGTAGAGTATGATAGTTGAATACCTGATGTATAAGTAAGTTGTAACTACTGAGCGATTTGAAAAAGATAACGCCGCAATTGAAAATAGAGAGCTAATAAGCACTTGTAAGAAAGCATTTTGCATCTAACAGTTCGTAAATTCATGGAAGATGCTGAACACTTACTAAAGAATAACAAACTTCAATTCACTCCATAAAAAGGTTTGCATCAGTTTGAAATCGATGTTAAAATAAGATAATTCATTTCATTTGGTAAAAAATTAATAATCAAAAAAGATATTTAAAATGTCTCATTCGTTAAAATATCTGTCATTACAATCTCTAGTCCAGTCTCATCAGGAAGTAAGCTTGCTAAAATCTCTATTTTAATTATTTTATCTCCAGAAGATAGTTAAATGTCCAATGTTAGGCACACGCGGCCCACCTTTTTGCATACAGTCATGTGGTTATAGAATGACAGGAAGATTTGCGCATCATTATTTGAAAAATATGGAGGATGGGGTAAGTCTAAAGCAATATCGCATTTTTCCGCCTCCTTTTCCATCCAAAATGCAATCTATTTAAGAGCGACTTTTGTGTATGTGGTATTAGATCCTGCAATATCTGACAAAACGATATTTTCGTCTGAATGACTTGTCCCAGCTCCTTCCCAAGAAAATGTTTGGTCGTAATTATTTAATCTTTAGAAAGTAAACAGCTCCCAGAAAAAATTTCCTCTATCACCCGCCGAATATACATCCACAAAGCACAAACGGGTATTTGGGGATGAAGTGGCACGTGCCTTTGAAGTATTAAAAGGAACTAATGTCTCCTTTTGATTTAGTCAGCGGTAAGGACGTCTGTTTATGAAAGTTTAAATTCAAAAGTCATTCCTAATCCCACGATGGGAAGATCGGAAGTAAAAACGAACAGACAACTGGACACATTTGCTTCGCGACCTTGGATGCTCCCCAGGAAGTCAATTAATAGTTAAAGTAGGATCTTCTTCTAGCAATTTAAAAGCCCATTTTGAAGCTGTCTACGCCACTTGTATGAACGTATCCCTGAAGTCTGTCGTGGCTGATCTATGACCAAAAACATGGCATCGAAGCACTAGAGTTGGGTTGAAGCGGCCAGAAAGTGTAGCTATAAAATATTAGCTCTTTGGCTCCGCTTTTGGCTATTTCTTTCCTTAAAGAGCTCTGATATGGGGCCCATTGCCCACAAATATCGATGGCAAAGTGAAGTTTCCTTGTTGTAGACAACCACCTACTCCTACAAGGCACATTGTCAAAGAAGAGATGGAGTTGATGAGGTAAATTACCAGTGTTAATATCAAGTGATTCCCATGTCACATGAAATAATTATGTATGACTTAAATTTCTGACTTGTGAGTAGTCCCTAGAAATGCCATCATTGCAATTACTGACACGCACTTCAATGCGTCGAGCTCTGAGGATCATGCCTAAATGAGAAGAAAAGGAATGAATTGCCACGAATATGACAAAAATCATGGTATCCCCTCAAAACCTTTTTTCCAAATTTGATACAGTTGTCAAGCGATAGGCGTTTAGTAGACATCATAAAATTTTCGAAGATTTCATGAGCCATAAGCAGCAGGGTCAGATTTATCTATTGAACGGTCCATTCAGTACATCATTCGGAGTAACGTGAATGCCTTTTTCGGAAAAATAATGAAAAAATAGGTTTTTCTTTATTTTCATACAATAAAGGATATACCAAGTATTTTATGTTATACCTTCTCGAAGATTTCTCTAAAGGAACACATCAAGGGGTAATTCATCCTAATAGGAATGTAATGAAAGACTTGTGACATGAATAGTAGAGGTGCAAAAACATGTACTGAGCAGTTTGAATCTCCTATGACCATATCAACAATTAGTGGTGATTCCTCCACTAAAAGCACACTTTGTGATTCGATACATGAGAAACTGTTATTTAAAGGCGTAGCAACTACGTTTTTGACTTAGCTCACGAAAACTCCAATCCTCATCAAAATTATTCGCTTCCGGTGTATTATTGACGGGCTGCACCAGTTTGTGAATGGAGGGTTCCTCTGCTGCCTCACGGTGCAAGAATTTAAAGACTTTCGAAAAATTTACAGGTGCAAACATTCCCTATAACATGTTTTAATCTACGTTTAAGCTGTCTATTTTATTAATAATAGCCAGGTGGCTTATATTTCTCACCGATTTTTGACCCGGTGTTGTCCCATGAAAGTATTTCTTATAAACGGAAAATCCAAAAGACTAAGTAGACCAGTCGCAAATGGCACTGCGGTTACAAATCACTCAATAGAGGAGTAATTTTTGAAAAGGGAAGCAAAAAAAGTTGCTTTTAAGGAGTCAGTAAGTCGTATAGTTAATAATTTGCAAAATAAATAATCCGCAACCTCTTCTTTTTACCCAGTGGAAGTGTACATTACTTCCTTCTACACTCGGTCTGTACATTACCGCACGTTGACTTCGATAAGTCAACCCAAAATTGCTTTTATCATTCATATAAAGGGCGACCCTCTGAAGTTTTGATTGAAATATCCATAACATGTACAACTACATATTTAGATGATTTGTAGAAACTAAGAATATAAATCTTTAACATGGACAGATAAATTTGTTTCAGTCAAATGCGAACGAGCTTTATCAAAACTACTTCAAAAACAAGATATTTGTCACTTACATGCCGCTTTTTTACATGCGAGAGTACTAAGGGGCATGTTGTTAATATCCACTCATGCTTAAAAGAGAGGTGACACATAAATTTCGTGGTAACTTATAAGTTCCTCTAAAGTGACAAAATACTCGACGCAAGGAGTTATTGTTACCCACTTGATATGAAAATTTTTGATCTTGATAGGATGCATTTTATGCAATAAAGAAACCCCACTTGAGAAAAATTGTCGCTTCTTCTTTAGAAACAATCAAAATCGTTTTTGTCGATGGAATTTGGAGTTGGCCTGTCATCATGCATTTTTAGAAGTGACACGGTGTGGCAGCTTATATGCAAATATGCTTCGGTCAATAAGCAAGATGGCCAGCTTTTCGTATGTCATTTTGTCTGCTGTTTTATTTTTATGCAATACTTATTTATATAGATGCTAATTTAGGCAATAAACCATCGTGTTTGACACATCTGGCTAGACAGAAGCGTTATTATCCGAAATGTATATGCGGCCCTTTTTAAAGCCTTTTTTCGGATTGACCAATCTTTTGAACAGTGTAGTGTATTCCTGTCAAATCAGGTTATGTGGGCAAGGGGTCTGATGCCAGAGATGAATTTAAAACAACAAAAATTTCTATACCTTTTCTTATTGTGAACACCGTTGTATCCCCGAAGTCATATGTTATAATGCATTGTAGAGTCATTTTAACACACACTATTTGTCACTTCCGTACAAAACGTAGAAATTAATATAGTTTTAATTTTTAGTAATGATAATTTTAACATTTACTATCAAAGGACTGGGTCAAATCCCACATTCATTGAACCTTAGGAAGCAGAGCTCAAAATTTTACAAAATTCTACTTATTATTAACTTAATCACCTTTTTTCATAAACAATTGAATGATGTAAGTATAGTTTTGCTTGAGGGTTTTTTCTTAAAAAAGAAACTCAGATTCACCATTTCCGGAGCCCAGTCTCCTTTTTCGCGTCAGTAATCCGCATTCTACCCCAAAATTTTGTGTTCCTTCGCCTTAGGGAAGGACCTATGCATCACAATACGTCCTATAATAGGTGAGTGGAGTGAGGGAACAGCATATTAAGGGTACAGCAAAAAACGTTTTTAAGGTAGTCGTTGTCTTTAAGTGCTTGTTTCGTGTTTGCAGAGAATTTGCAACTGTGTCACTACAAACGGCCACCGCAGTGTTTTAAGTGATTTCGCTTGAGAAACGTGACCTAGAATTCCCTTTAAATGCCTTATTATTTCATTTTAAAGGTAAAATAAGGATCTGCATTTAATTAATAAAATCTTTCCATCTGTCCAAAAATAGTCAAATTTGAAGTTGTGAAAACCATTCATTAGCTAAAAATGCGAACACAAAAGTCATTGTTGAAACAAGAAATTGAGGAGAACTGAACGGATAGCTTTTGAGTGATTGGCACTGAAGCACTTACCTATCGCGTTCTGATGAAGGCAAATCAAAGCGGGTCAAAAGAACAAACACAAGTTGATAGCCCCGCAGAAATTATTTCGTCTAGCTTTAAATGCAAAAAATAGGATACAAAACAAATTATTGCTCATGCAATTTTTTTTAAGTTGTGTGAGATAAAAATAATGAGGCTTTCAACTTGGGAAAAGATTAAATGACTATAACTAAAAGATTAATTCAGATTGCATTATAGCGTTTATTTGTAAAAAATGTGTAAACATTGAAGTCACCGTGAGCTCTTTCATCACTTTGGCAGTATGTACTATCAAAGAGCTTAAGAAAAATCCTCCGCATTTTTTAAGCTTGAAATAAAGCATTTGGTATGCCAAGCATTATAGACGAATTAAATGCCCTGCATTTTCACAGCATAATTTAACAATTTGAACGCATAATTTAAATACTAATGGAAAATAAGCCATGTTTTTCTGCATTTATACCTCTTTGGTAAGGAAGAAAACCAAACAGAATGCTGCTAATTTACTGCTATGGCTGCAATAAACACTCAGAGCTCAAACAGTTGCTTTTACAGCCTTCTTTCCCAAAATGTTTATAGTATTTTAGTAAGGTTATGGTGATCTCGAATGGAAGTGCCCTTAAGGTTGTTTAGCCAGTTTTTTTCATTGAGTAGACTTTGTGCCAAATTTTTGGTTAGCACAATCATAAATTGCTTTCGTTTGGCTGAGGTATTCGTAGTTATCCGCTTATTGGATTTTAAGGGAAGAATGAGTTCCAAGTTAAACTTATATTAACAAAAATACCAAGAAAAAATTTTAGAGCCTAGTTTTTACTAGAAGGGGGATAGTATATATTTGACCTTTTGTCTGCGGCAGATATCTGTTTTAGATGCCCAGCTGCATTTTACAGCAAAATCAGAGATTTTCTAAATTGCTAGGTATGCATTAAACCTCGAAAATGATTTTATGGCCACCAATTATATTGGAAGTGCAGCTATATTTTTTTTGGAGTGTTCACCAACCCTGCAAGGGTGAGCATATAAATAGCATTTCCAGAGCACAGCCTAAATAACAGCAGGTAGGTAATTTCAAAGAGCAAATATAATCCCTTTAGTTACTTGTATGTAAGGATTTTTTGAGATTTAAGGAGCCTTTATACCACAATTTGTAAAAACCGCGTTTACTGCTCCAAGCTGATACCATTAGAGTCTGGAAAACATTGCTTCTTACAGTGATACACTCGTATTTTTTAACTTTTTTGATTTCAGTCTCTACTGCCACCCATCAAAGGGCGTCACTCTAATTGACGGGCGTGGAAATGACTCTTGTTATCAACAAAATAGGGATTTTGTGCAAAAGCCTGCTTTGCAAGGAATTTCTCCAAGCCATAATCTGCAAGTGCTATTGGACTTGTTTACAGACTAAGGAGAAAGAAAAACATTAAAGAAATTGCTTATTTAGAGCTGCAACTTATTTTAAACTTGCACAATCTTTTTGAAAAGCGCAGTTTCCTTCAAGTTTTGATAGTTTATTGTGCTGTCTAAAATTTAAACAGCTCAAAACGCAATTTGGACTTTGTGAGGCCAATATACATTAACAGTCACTGTACCTGTAAAAACCTGTTTCCCTACTGATAACTTGCACAAATTCATTATGTAATAAGCACTTTGTGTAGTCATAGGAAGAATTTTGATCGAGATTCAAGATTTTTGGCAGTGTACTTTAAGTCTAGTTTATTCCATTTTATACCGCTGCACTTTTGGTTTTTAAGCATTTGTTCAACCCTGACAAACTATGTTAAATTAGCCAGTTGGTCAAAAGTGGGTCTTCTTATTTAGGGGAGAATTGCAACTTAGAGACCATTTCTTTGTAAAATTCCTCCTTTTAGGTGGAGGGTAACACAAATTTAATGTAGGCGAATTCCAGAATAAAAAAAAGCTTTACTGAAATTGCTAGAGCACAGAAAATCCATTGATATCTCATTTTAGCATAGTAAAAGAGGGAAATTTTGGCAGATAGTTTTAAAATTATGGGCATTCGAATAGAACTAAAGCAAGCATTCGAAAATTAACTGGTAGGAATTACTAGTTTCAAAATCTGTTTATTAAATAAGACAATGAGTTAAGTGGTTTGCATTTGAAAAGCAGGCATTCAAAAGTAGGTAAAACAACTACGCAATAAAGATATGCGTCATATAATAACCCTTACATTGAACCCAACTAGGGATGCCTAAAACCCTAAAAAACCCTTGTGCTTTATTTTTTTTAAGATTTTGTGGTTTCGAGACTACTTTCCAAGCATTTTTTAAGCCTTACGTCAAGATAGTCTCGAAGTAGGCTCACACTCACCACAATGCCGAGATCAACCAATCGTCATGAATGTGTATGCTTGGAACAGCCTTGCGTGCTCTCGGATCTCAACCAGACAACCATATTTCGTGAGTACAGGCCTCATCTAATATCTACGCTGCAAATATGATAGCGCACACATAAATACAAGCTCATCACTCTTTTAACTCCCTTTATTGCATCTTATTTTAGTTAGCTTCGATTCCGTTGTTTTGTTAGTAATTGTAGCATGCTAATTTGGACTTAGAGCAGTTTGGGGCTTCTTCGCTCCACTTTACACATTTCTGTACAGGCAGCAGCCAAATCCTTAAAATCCCTTGCCAATAAATACTAAATCATAGCTAAATCAACCGTTTGCATGTTTTTAGCATTTTAGATGGCTTGAAGACAATCGACAAGAATAATAAATAGTAAACCCCAAGTACAGTTCTCTATTACTTCGCCCATCTTCACACTTTACCTGTTTGATGCGCCTTTTTATTTAAAAAAGATTTCTAGGCAGGTTATTTCATGCAGCCTTTTTCCCTAAAACAGCAATTACATTAGAAATGATGCTTTTGCCTTGTTGTTATGCTGCAAAATTTGCCAAGCCATTCTTGAAGGAAGAAGGTGAATACCAATAGGGTTCGCTGATGCTTAATAACATTTGTTTAATAAACTAGCGCAAGCTGTTTACTCTTTCATCATTTTTCCTCTACTTATCAACTATTCGGCATATTTTAATGACTCCGAAGCAGTTTCAAATTTTCAGCTAGGAAAAGCAAAAACGCATTCGACTTCCAAAAAGTGAATCTAACGAAATCTCCGCACTTTTAAAAATGTATTACAGTGATCCAAAATGGTTAGGTGCATATATATTATGGATTATACCGCTCTCTAGAAATTGTCATCTTCCATGTTGAACAATTCTTAAAGAAAACAGTAGCTACCAGAGCAGATTTAGTTTAGGAAAAAAGCAGCATTATTAATGGAGGCTTTAAAGACTTTTAAAGCATATATATAGAATGTCAGCTTTTGCTTAATTTAAACATACGCAAAGCTATCAAACTTGCTTTTGATTACGATGTTTCTAGTAATTTTTGCAGTGATTTAACATATACTACTTCGACAAAATAACGCCTTTTAAAAAAACAAGAAAAAAATCTCATCAAAACTAGAATCTCTAAAAATAATTCAACCACAAATAAAATGCCTTTTCTGTCTGAGGTGCGCAGGATTTACTTATGCAAACGATTTCGTTGCAATTTTGCTGTTGATGTTTGAGCAATTTCTAAAAAGCAAAACCATCATATTGAATTTAACCCTTTTTATATTCTCACATATCCTTGATATGAAGGACGAGAAACCTGAATTAACGCCGACGCCTTGATTTAGCATTAAGTCCAGTGTCGACGAGACAATTTGTACTGTTGAGTAAAACATTTGACAAAAACCCTTTTCATAAGCCCAACTTTGCTATAATTTCTACACACTTTTAACAACTTAATAAACCTCCCAAATTTTGCTTTGTTTTCTGCCTCGTGGCTAGCTGTTTTACTCCTCACTCTTCCATAACTTATGTCGTTTGTTTAGGTTGGTGTGGGTCTATTCTGCAAAGCCAATGTCCGCTTCGTCAAGAATGTGAAGAGTCGTGTGAATGTCACGGTGGGCTGCGTGCGCTACCTAACAACAAACTTGATTTAACCCAAGTAAAACTAAATCCTGGGTGCAATACACACCATGCAACCCATTGCTTCAACACTCTTCTCATTTCCACACTACATAACTCCACCGTACCCCGTAAGCTCATTCTTTAATTAAATCTTCTTTCATGCATTATTGCTACCATTCCGTATTTGTTTCGCCTTTTGTTGCCCATTCATCCTTTCTTTCAAAATCCATCTTTGCTCATTCATTAACAATAAATTATGACACTTATGACAATCGTTCCCTTTTGCTCAGCAATTGGCTAAAAGTAATGGTTGCGAAAATTACTTAATGAAGGAACTTAAGTTACTTGAAGCTAAACAGGCGTTCTTTTACTAAATCTCGTTAGCATGCAAAATTGCCTGTCGCCGGATGGGACTATCCACATTAGATTAGTTCTTAATGAGGATAGTTAAAATATTTTATTATTAAAATACATGATCATGTTGTTTACGTGTTCAGTCCTCGATCAATTTCCAGTATTAAAGCCAAATGGTCCGATTTTTACAAGCACTTAGTCTTATAAAGATTAGAGTTTAAATATGAAATTTACCCCGTTTTAAGTGTTCCCTGCATTCTTTTTTGTTCCTAATTACAGAAGCTCTGATGGCGGCCTCCAACTTTTCAATAGCAAATGACGCTAATGGGTTTAAAGAAGATGTGAATCCAAAGCTTGCGGAAACATTCATCGACTAGTTGATTTTGCCCTTTAGCAGTTATCAAAGGCTAAAATTAATTTTTTTTTTATGCAAAATGAGAAGGGGAGCTCCTAAAATCTTCCCAATAAGTGAATTTACGAGGGTATTGCATTTAGGCAACCGACTTATAATGATTAAAATTGTAAGGCATACAACAAATTATTTCATAAATTAAAAGTGAACTCCCAATGAAAAAAAGGTGTTTTGCATAAAAATTTACAGTAAGAGCACGAATACCTAATTTTCATGCTAAGACTTTTGAATAGTTTTGCTTAAATTCAAATAAGTTGCGCGAAAACCTCTGTAATACCTTTTATCTCGCTGAAATCAACCTCTTAATTTACTAGCCATAAATTTTAAAAGATAAAGCCTATATTTGACCTATCCAGACTGTCGCATTAATGCCGGAAATGCTCAATCTTCGCGGGTGTTTGCAGTTAAGTATAATTATGACTGATATTGAGGAAATTTGCAAATCACTGATATCAACAGGTTTAAGCATTAATTTAAGCACTTTTCAACTTGCATAATGAGTGTTATGGATGGAGTATGGTGCATTTAAAGAAAAATGCACATATTTAAAAAGGTGAGGACTTAAGAGCATGATGCACTAATGAAGTGCGTGACGTTGTGTGTAGGAAATCTTAAGCTTTGCATTGCTTGATGCTTTGCAAAGCAGGGTATGGAGTAATTCGTCTTATCCAGATTTAAGTAGATGAAAGAAAGCAGAGGCGTAAATTACGGCGCGTATCCTCACACGTTAAGGCAAATTACACAGAAGCGGCACCGAGTACGGCACCCTAACATTGCAATTAGCCCAAATGATGGGGAGTGAATTGATGAATACTCTGGATGTTGGCCGCAAAGGTAGGTGCCAAATAGAGCAAATGGATGGTGTGCATAAGGATTGCAATAACTGCTGTTCTTCTCTTTTAGTGGTTTTAACAAAAACATTTCAAAATCTGGTCTCAAAGATGATCCTAATTTTGTTTACTCTGACCCACTTGATGTAATTTTTCACAATTTGCATTCATGTGCACCTACGCACCCATCTAGTGCGTAGCTCTAAGACACCCATCCACTCTATTGTGTTGAGGACAAATTGCAGATATGGATGCTTAAAATTAAAAAAATATAACACCGAAACTTATGCTTTGGGCAATGCATGCAAAAAACAGGATATTTCCCTTCAAATTGTTAACGACACCTAATAAATTTTACAATTACCTGCTACAAACAGCTTGTTTTAAGCCCTTCGTTACCAGCAACATAATTTAAGTTAACTTTATTCGTGCTTACTATCTTTACTTTGTCAAAATGCCCATTAAACTGATGTTTGGTCGAGTCCTTGCAAACACTA